TGGTGTGTATGAAGCTTTTCAGGCTTGGCTGTAGTGTAAAAAGTAATGACTTTATTACCTCTGAAAGGTTCTGTGGTTCACATTTAACAGTCTTCTGAATTACAATTCATTACACAATCGTGTGCTCTCTAAAACCGGCACCCTATCAGGGCCGCTATCTGTGGTTATTCCCAATAAATAACTGGCAGCGTTTTATTGATTTTCTTTTTAAAAAAAATCATAGGAAATTAAGCACTTAGTTACAAGTAGGTCTGCTGTTATTGCACTTGTTTCAGATTCCAGGGGGTTTCTTCGGAAGCCACATCTTAAAACATACATTTAAAAAGCCAGTTGCAGCTGCTTGCCTGGGTACCAGTTCAGAGGTAAGCAGCAACGTTTTCACGATTAACATATATTTAATTTCTTCATCATAAAATGCCCAGGGTGAAATGGGACTTGCCATCCTCTCCCGCCCCTCCCCCAACCAGATTTCACCCAGCCCAGAAAACCAGGGCTGTGCGTCGGCATTTGATCTGTCCTAGCCGGCCCCCCTCCGGGTCCCTCGTGCTCGCGGGTACCGGTGACGCCCCTCCCTCCTGGCTGCTGGATGTTCACTCCAGAGCCCGAAGGTGGGGGAGGGGAAGTTTATATGAGTGTTTAAAGAAGTAAAAACGTGGCGTTGTAAGAGATTTGAAAATATTACATAAGTATTGATTAATGATGCAGGTGGTGCTGTGCAGCAGGGTGAAAGGTCACTTTAAATGTGCATACTTGGGTACACAATAAGTATATTTACCTTTCCAGAAGTGGCTTTTAGAAAGTAATAAATTATGACAACGTTAGAATTATTTTCTAACTGTTCAGTTAACTTCGTTAGGGTTGTAGAACCCTTGCTGCTTGTATTGAGAGCCCTCGGTGGGCTCTTTCCCAAACCCTTAGTGACGACAGTGCGTAAACCTTAGGCCAGCAGACGACCCCTCCCCTTCCCACCCCACCCCCTTTTATCTTGCCGGCGGAGGAGACTCCCCATACTTCCTGCAGTATATATTCTGCCTCTGATCTCCGTACTTAATAGCCAAGTCCTGGTTTATGGTTTATAATGTGTTGACAAGTTTTCTAACAGACTTTCTGGAATAATGCACATATATTCACGTCGGTTAGAAACCCACCGTATTTTTAGAGTGGAGTAGATCTATACCCTAATGCAGAGAGAGGGTGTAAATCATAGAGGGTTCCATAGTCCTTTCAGTAGTTTTCGGTATGAAGTATGAGCCGCGTGGCCTCCAGACGTAACCTTTTAGAAAAAAAGACAGTGCTTTTATTTTATGGTGTAAAGTGCTTTTAGCTTCGGGGCTCTGAACGTGAATGTGGTCAACAAACAGCTCCAAGAGGGAGGCTTAATACAGCCCTAGCCCTCCCAGTGAGCATCTCCTGACACCGGGGACTCGCTATGAGCTGGAGAACGAAGAGTTAAAAGGTCTGTCTCGATGGAAACTACAAGATTAAAATAAAATATTCACTGTCTGCCTTTAGGGTGAAACACTTTTATAGACAAAAATAAATAAATGAATAACTGAATGATTAAAAATGCATTCCGTCCCATCTTGCTTTTTACTTCATCCTTTTTCCTTCTTTTTATTACTTTTGTTGCCTAATTGGCAGACCAGGAAAAATAGAGAATGGGCAGTCATCTTTCGGCTTGGACCCTACACTCAGCACAGGTTTCAAATTTGGGGCTGTGGAGGGTGGGCTGGAGCTGGAGTGCTGTTAGACAATGCGTTTGAAAGAGCCGAGGCTGTGTTTGAGTACAGAGGAGTAAGCCAGCCTCGTTGCCCCCCTGCTGCCTGTGTGACCAGAAACCTGGAGACCTAGGGAGGCTCCCAAGAGTAGACAGTCTCTAGCCCTTCCTTGAAGGCTCAGCTCTTCCTCTGGGGTGGGCATGGCAGACACAGGTTCCCCCATCCTGAGAGAGTCATCAGTCTGACATCTTTCTCCAATGGCTGCCTGGTTTCTGAGGGGTTGGCAGGTTGCTTCATACATCCGGATGCACCTACCTAAAAGGAGAGGAAAGCAAGGACTGGGTCTGCCTCTGGACAAGGCTGCTGTGTGTTGAGTCAATCATGCATGAGAAAGGGGAGCAATGGTCTCAGTTAAGGGGCTCCTCTCAATAGACAAGAAGTTCTGGTTAGAACATTGCTGGGTGAAGTTCTTAACATCCCAGCATTTGCATAAAAGACACATAGGTACAAAGCTGACTGTCAATGGCTGTAGTGTGCTAGTGATTCCTGGTACAATACTCAGGACACAGTAAATGCTCCAGAAACAGTCTCTGAGTGAATGAGCTAACTAACTACAAATCCTCTTACCACACCCATGAAACCAATTCATAACCATCCAAACTGTATTAATTTCCCCAGAAACCAATAAGGCTTTGTGAGGCAGTCCTACAAGAGAATGCATTTAAGTCTTAAAGTAATTCCTACCAAGGACAGCTCAGATGATCATTCCATATATCTAACAGCTGAACAGTTAACAATACAGCAGAATTAATATGTGCATT